GTGCCCTCAGAATCCTACCAACACCAACTCAGGGCATGCTAATGGCAGCACTGCCAGAACTCCTACTCCAGCGGCAGCTCAGTCTTGTCCTAGCTCTCAGGCAAGTGGACAAGGTTCTCGTGCTTCCAACAACCTTGGTCGAGGCCGGGTGAACCACATTCAAGCCGAGACCGCTCAGGATGCTCCAGACGTTGTGATGGGTATGTTCTCTGTCAACTCCGTACCCGCAATAGTTCTGTTTGATTCGGGAGCTTCCCATTCTTTCATGTCACAAGCTTTTGTGAAAAGAAATGGTTGGAAAATCCAAAATTTACGTGTACCAATGATAGTACATTCCCCTGGAAGGAATATAAGGGCAACTCAAATATGCCCGGAAGTTAACCTTAGAATTGAGGAAGTTGACTTCCTAGCCAAACCGATAGTCCTAGACTCGCAAAGCTTGGACATCATCCTAGGGATGGATTGGTTGGCTAAGCACAAAGGATAGATAGATTATGCCGAAAAGTCCATCACCTTGCAAGGACCTGGAGGAAAGCAAGTCCGCTTTACCTCTAACACCCCTACCGCAAGTCGGTCTATCCTAACCTGTTTACAAGTCACCTCCTTGGAGTCGGTGCCCATAGTCTGTGAATATCCCGACGTATTTCCAGAAGAATTAACGAGTATGCCACCAGACCGAGAGATTGAGTTCGCCATAGAACTGGCACCAGGCACTGCACCAATTGCAAAAAGACCCTACCGAATGGCAGCTAATGAGTTAGCAGAAGTTAAAAGATAAATCGAAGAATTGGAGAGTAAAGGTTATGTGCGACCTAGCTCATCCCCTTGGGGAGCCCCAGTGCTTCTGGTTAAGAAAAAGGATGGCTCTAAGAGAATGGTAATCGACTATAGAGCCCTGAATGAAGTAACTATAAAGAACAAGTACCCGTTGCCACAGATTGACGATTTATTCGATCAACTTAAAGGAGCAAGAGTTTTCTCAAAAATTGACTTGAGATCAGGTTACCACCAACTGAAAATCAGATCTGAAGATATCCCGAAGACCGCTTTCTCAACGCGCTATGGTCTATATGAGTTCACAGTGATGTCCTTCGGACTCACCAATGCTCCAGCGTTCTTCATGAACTTAATGAACAAAATCTTCATGGAATACCTGGACCAGTTTGTCGTGGTGTTCATCGATGACATCCTGATATACTCCAAGAATGAGGAAGAACATGCTGAACACCTGAGGCTGATAATGGAAAAGCTCAGAGATCATCAACTATTCGCTAAATTCTCGAAATGCGAATTCTGGTTAGACCGAGTAGCATTTCTTGGACACGTGATCTCCTCCAATGGTGTCGAGGTAGATCCCAGCAAGGTTGAAGCTGTACTTGCTTGGAACCCGCCCAAGAATGTGTCAGAGATTCGCAGCTTCCTTGGCTTAGCTGGATATTATCGAAGATTCATTGAAGGATTCTCTAAGCTAGCCAGACCTATGACCGAGCTGTTAAAGAAAGAAAAGAAATTTCAATGGTCTGCAGCCTGTGAAGACAGCTTTCAAGAGATGAAGAAAAGGTTGACCACTGTCCCAGTTCTCACCTTGCCAGATATCCGAAAAGATTTCGAGATCTTCTGTGATGCATCAAGACAAGGCTTAGGATGTGTCCTAATGCAAGAATGAAAGGTTGTGGCCTATGCATCCAGGCAGCTCAGGCCTCATGAAGTCAATTATCCCACCCATGATCTCGAGTTGGCAGCCGTGGTTCATGCTCTTAAGATCTGGAGGCACTATTTAATCGGGAACAGATGTGAAGTATACACCGATCACAAAAGTCTTAAGTACATCTTCACTCAGACCGAGTTAAATATGAGGCAGAGAAGATGGTTGGAACTAATCAAGGATTACAATCTTGGAATTCATTACCACCCCGGTAAAGCTAATGTGGTCGCTGATGCGCTAAGTCGCAAGGCCTATTGCAATGTAGCTCGAATACGGCCTGACCAAGATCGCCTGTGCAGAGAATTGGAGAAGTTAAGGCTGACCGTGGTACAGTCAGGTGTCCCTGCCAGCTTGACAGTGCAGCCTACCCTAGAATCGCAAGTCCGGGAGGCTCAGAAAGATGACGAAGGGATAAAAGAGTTAATAAAAAGAATACAGGAGAAGAAAGACACCGATTTCTCCATAGACGACCAAGGCACAGTTTGGTGCGGTCCACGCATCTGTGTACCGGCCAAGAAGGAGTTAAGAGATCTCATCCTAAAGGAAGCTCATGAGTCCGCCTACTCCATTCATCCAGGAAGTACGAAGATGTACCAAGATATCAAGGCATACTTCTGGTGGGCTGGAATGAAGCGAGATGTCGCAGAATACGTAGCCTTGTGTGACATTTGCCAAAGAGTCAAGGCAGAGCATCAGAGGCCAGCTGGTCTGTTGCAACCCCTACCAATTCCCGAGTGGAAATGGGAAGAGATCGGAATGGATTTCATCACCGGTTTGCCAAGAACCCCTAGCGGGTACGACTCCATTTGGGTAATCGTGGACCGACTCACGAAATCAGCTCATTTCGTGCCAGTGAAAACCACCTTTGATGGAAAGAAACTAGCAGAACTCTACATGACCCATGTCGTATGTAGATTTGGCTGTCCCAAGAAGATTGTGTCAGACCGAGGCACTCAGTTCACCTCAAGGTTCTGGAAGCAGTTGCATGAAGCCCTCGGAACCGATCTAAATTTTAGTACGGCCTACCATCCGCAGACCGATGGTTAGACAGAAAGGGTAAACCAAATCCTAGAAGACATGCTACGTGCGTGTGCTCTGGATTTCGAAGGCACTTGGGATCGTTGTTTGCCGTATGCTGAGTTCTCATACAACAACAGCTATCAGGCCAGCATTCAGATGTCGCCGAATGAGGCAAGTTCGGAAGAAAGTGCCGCACTCCCTTGTGCTGGAATGAGGTGGGCGAAGCGCTGGTATTCGGTCCTGACATACTCAAGGCAGCAGAAGAACAAGTTAAGCTAATCCGAGAACGTTTAAAGACAGCGCAGAACCGTCAGAAGAATTACGCTGACAATCGGAGGCGTGACCTTGAGTTCGAAAAAGGAGATCATGTGTACCTGCGGGTATCACCCCTCCGTGGTATGAGGAGGTTTGGGATGTCCGGCAAGTTAGCACCCCGCTACATCGGCCCCTACCTCATAACCGCCAGACGTGGCGAAGTGGCTTATCAGCTTGAGTTACCTGAAGGTCTCGCAGATGTGCACAACGTGTTCCACGTATCCCAGTTAAAGAAATGTCTTCGAGTTCCAGAAGAGCAAGTCCCCCTGGGTAGTATCGAGCTGGAAAAGAATCTGACCTACAAGGAAAGACCGATCAAGGTTCTTGAAGAGGCAGAACGTCAGACTCAAAGGAAGACCATCAAGTTCTACAAAGTCCAATGGAGCAACCATTCTGAAGATGAGGCAACCTGGGAGCGAGAAGATCTTCTCCGCGCCGAGTTCCCGGAGCTGCTCCCTTAGGTGCTGAATCTCGGGGTCGAGATTCTTGTTAGGGGGGTTGGTCTGTAGCGCCCGTTCCGTCGTGGCGCCTAGCGGGAAAATTATCTCTTAAAAACCCTAATTGCGAAATTTGCTTCTTTGCTTGTTGTCTAGTGTCCGTGCCATCTCAAGATCTCAAATCCCCGATCTATCGTCGAGTTCAATCCCGAATCCAAATCTTTCCAAATCAAATTCCTCCACAAAAGTCTATTTTGCCTCCCCCAGGGTCGATGGGCCGAATCTCTCTCGGCCCATCTCCCCCTCCCTCCCCGGCGCCCTCTCTCTCTCTCTCTCTCCCTCTCCCTCCGCTCCACCCGCGCGCCGCGCGCGCGTGCGCGAGAGCCGCGCCGTCTGCGCCGTCCGCGCCGCCCGGCCCCGCTGCCCTGCCGCGCCTGCAGCCGCTCAGCCCCGCAAGCCAGCGCGCGTGCCCGAGCCGCGCCGCTCAAACCGCCGCGCCTCCCGTTGCAACCCGCGCGCGCGTGCCGTGGTGGCCGACCGCCTGGTCGCCGCCGCCGTCACCCTCTGTCGCGCCTGCCCGCGCCTGTCGCCCGTGTCGCCGCTCCGCTCCACACCGCCCCGCCGTCATCGCCGTCGTCATCGCCTCGGCCCCACCACTCCGCGCGCAAGCCGTCAAGGGACGGAGGCAGAGCCCCCTCCTCCCTCTACCGCGTCGCCCCCGCTCCCCTCCTCCTTTTCCCAAAGAGGCAAGGGGCAAGCCCCCTTTCTCTCCCTCCTTTTTCCCCCTTTTTCCTCCCGCCGGCGTCATCCTCCCTCCGCCCTGTCGCCGATTTGGCCGCTAGCCGGAGCGCCAGCTCGCGCCTTGACCGCCCAAAGTCAGTTTCCAAACCGACATTGCCGCCCTTTAAAGCCCAGGCGCCCTCCCTCTCTTCTCCTCTCGTTGTCCTATCGCCTCCACTCCATTGTTGCCGCCCCTCTGTTTCGCCGTCGCCGTTCGTCGTTGCGCGTGTCGGAGGAGCCGGCACGAGCGAGGACGCGGAAGGGGACTTCGGGCGCGCCCTCTCCTTCCTCTTCCCCGGCCTGAGGCCGGAGAGATTACTCCCGCGCCGTCGGCCTCTCGTCACAGCGCCCCGCCTCATCTCGGTAGTGCATCTCCCCGTTCTCCCTCCTCAATCCATCTCCTCCCCTTAGACTCGGGTAGTAGCACGAGTAGCCTCCCCGTAGCTAGCCGGCGCCGCCCCGACCGTTGCCGTCGCTCGCCGTGTGCTCGCCGCCGTCGCCGCCCGAGCTCGGAAGCGCCTCTCGTCGCCGGCCTCCCTCGATGCGTTTCCTCCTAATCCGGAGCAAGGGGCGGATTCCCGTAGCCGCATAGATGCTCTCGCCGCCGGGAATCGGCCCCTCGTGACCTCGTCGCCTTTTCCCTCTTCCCTCCCCGCTGGTTGCCGCCGCCGTAATCCGCCGTCGACGCACTCCCTTGTGCATCTATTTTCATAACAAAATCACCGATGGAACACACGTACAGGGAAGCCAAATGATAAAATTCTTTTTCTTCGTATGTACCGGTGGCGAATTTACATTTGCATGCGAATGCCTCCACCCGTCCCTTTCTCTTTTTGTATACAAAATGAATTTTTCCAATCTGTGTGAAAAGAAGATCTCCAAAGAAGGAGAAGAAAAATGAACAAAAGAATGGGGAAAATTGTACAGCCCCCCCTCTATAACCTAATCTATTTACACATCGGCCGCCGTACTCCTCGCCGGAGCCGCCACCTCCTCCTGCTCCCTCTCCTGCCGGGCCATCCTGTTCAGCTTGGCGAACATGCCGACCATGGGCGCCGTGTTGTACGTGCACGCCTCCGTCTGCATGTAGTTCTCCCGGTTGTCCCTGAACCTGTCCCGCCGGTCCGGCCCACCGACGATGGCGCCGACGAGGACGTTCGGGTTGGAGCTCCGGCGACCGAACCAGTGGTCGAACCCCTGCGTGCACCCGATGAACTCCTTGCTGTGCTTGTACGGCACGATGGACGCGGCGCGGTGGTGCACCCTGTTCGGGTACTTGGCGCCGTACCCGACCAGGTAGCTGATCCCCCTCGGGTTGGTGCCCAGCACGTAGTCCACCTGCGCCCTCGCGAGCGCCGCCACCTCGCCCGCGCCCGCCGTCTCGCCGCCCGCGCACGACACGGCGCCGTCCGCGTCGTCGCCCAGGTAGTCCGCGTACGCCGCGAGGAGGAACGCCGCGTTGGTCACGTACTGCATGTTGTTCCACTGCCTCACGTACAGCATCCCGCCCGGGCTCCGCTCCACGTTCGCGTCCGCGCCGCCGTCCGCGTTCCGCCCCAGGCACCCGCACACGTAGTGCTCCGCCTTCGCCCTGTACTGCTCCAGCGTGCTCCTGTGCCGCTCCTCGTGCTCTCCTCTCAGCAGCAGCTGTCACCAAACACACAATACACCGTTAGAACGTGTGTCGAATATGTGTACAAAGTCTGGACAAGTTCATCAGTAATAACGTTTTTCTGTGTTTGGGCTTACTCTTGCGGCGAGGATCTGGACGCCGGCGTACTTGACGTCCCAGCTGAACTCGGTGATGGCCCAGCCGGTGCCACCGAAGCAGTCGGCGTTGTCCACGACGTAGTCGAGGTAATGGGCCTTGCCGGTGGCCCGGTGCAGCCACAATGCGGCCCAAAGGAGCTCGTCCTTGTACCCGCTCACCGACGCGTAGTAGCTCTTCACCTCGGCGATACTGCTGTCATACTTCCCTCTGTACTTGTCGGCAAACTCGAACAGCTGCACACACGTACACAAACGTATTCAGCAAAATTCATTTAATCATGAGGAGTACGTATATTAATAAGACCTTTTTTTTGTTGTCATAGCTGACGCTGGAAAAAAGTCATGCATACGGAGCTACGGACTAGTTCAATTCGCGCATGACGACACGACATTTCTTGGTTTCTAAGGAGTAGTTTATGCGATTGAACTGGCGACCTAATCATGGACCAAAACGAGTTAGCAAATGGAAAGTTTCTCATCTACCAGATGCTAACTATCTTTTTTTTTTCTTTTCTCCTCGTTAGGTTGCGTGCCGGCTCCTTGGCCCCGCATGCCAGCCACCAGCTTGCCAGCAGCTATCTACGAACCGACACAGACTTCTCACCTCAAAAAAAATGTTCTTTTTTTTGGAAAAAATTTAAAATTTTCTCCTGCCGTCGTCGTGTTGACAAGTTGGCATGTGCCGCACAAGGCACAAGAAAGAACACACATCCAAAACACTAACACTAATACTATAATGATGTTTCTCAGAAAATACTATAATACTGATACGCATCCAAAGAAAAAGTCCGGCACATCTTGACTAAAGTTGCAAGTACACGCAACGGTCCAAAATTCGGTACGCGTACTGGTAAACAATACCCCCCAAAATTTCGAAATTTGAATTTTCGCCATTTTAATTTCTTCGTCGCCGAAATAATAATTGATCCAGAAAGATCCAATTAATCCACGAGACTTTGTTGCACGTTGGTGAGCTGGATTATGTGTGTAGTTAGTACCTGCTGGGCGTGGTGCAGGAGGAGGCTCGCGTAGTGCGGGTTGGACTTGCGGAAGACGATGGACGCGGCGGCCATCGCCGCCGCCGTCTCGCCGGCGACGTCGGAGCCCGGCCGCTCCCGGTCCACCTTGTACGCCTGCCTCGACGTCGTCATGTCCTCCGGCCGCTGCCAGCAGTAGTGATCCGTGTCGCCGTCCCCGACCTGCAAATTAATCACGGTTTTCTTTTCTTAGAAAGAAAATTCAGCGTTTTAATTTTGGCAGAAGTGAGCAAAAATTTCGAAATCTTGGCACTACTACGCCATGTGGAAACGCATAGTTTAATGTTCGTAATCGTACGCTCCATCAAACTGGCCACCTAACACGGTTGTTGCTATTCACCAGAAAGAACACCTTTTCTTCGTAACAAGAATATAATTTGGCTACGTTCAGAATGTTAGGAGGGAAAAGAAAAGAAAAAAGAAAAAAGAAAAAGAAAAGAACTAGTAAAGTACAAGTAGTAGTAGTGATAACTGAACTGGTCTCTTGATCTCTATATGTTGTAGCTTGTGTTCAACAGCTAGGACAATTTCGTCATGCATGAGAGAGAGAGATCAGAAATGGTCTCACGCATGATCGTGCCGTCATCAGATGGAAGCAGTTTAGGTGAAGGATTTGATTAATTACGTACCTCAGCCCAGAGCTCGTTGGGCTTGGTGTGCGCCTTGATGAAGTAGTCAGTGCCCCACTTGATGGCCTCGAGCGCGTGGCCGAGCTCGCCGGCGGCCTCGACGTCGTCGCCGTACTCGATCATGCTCCACGACAGCATCGTCACCGTGAACGCCATGGGCAGCCCGAACTTGACATGGTCGCCGGCGTCGTAGTAGCCTCCCACCAAATCCACCTAATTAACCACCATCCAAGTTAGTAACAATCTAGCCATCGAATTCTCGCTGCGCAATGGAGTAGTGTTCGTCCATGTACCCCTTGCTCGAGGCCGTCGGTGAGGCCGGAGTGGTCGCGCCACGCGACGCGCTGGTTGTGCGGGAGCCGCCCCGACCGCTGCGCCTCGAAGTAGAGCAGGCTCTTCCGCAGCGCGTCCTCGTAGTTGTGCGCCTTCCTCTCCGTCGCCGCCGCGCCCGCGCCACCGGCAGCGGCGAGGAGAAGCAGCTGCAGCAGCAGCGCGGCCACGAGGACCAGCGCCCGGCCTCTCATCGCGCCCGGCGGTGTCGTCGTCGTCGTCGTCCACGCATGTGCCCGCCCCTGCACCGCCGCGCGCATGTGATTGGCGGCGCGTTGCTTGTGCGCTGTGGCTATCGATCTCTCTGCGCGAGTGATGGTGGATGAGATGAGCTCTTCTCGGTTCTTTGCGCGATCTCCCGCGCTGCGTGATCGACGCCGAGCAGTTGAACAACGAGGCAGGGAGCTTATATCCTTCACAGGAAGCTGGGCCGGCCGGTGTCCAACCCCGAGACGCTCCCGCGCGCGCGCGAGCGAGCACTGCGCGTTGAATCGGCTCGGCCCCGCGAAGAATATAATACTCCTCCTCTGCTTGCTCGGTGTGTGGCGTGTGCAAAGAAAGGCTGGGAGCGCGAGGAAACGCACGAAAAATATAAGCCGCGCGCACCCGCGTCGCGGTTGCCTCTGGAGTTGGAGGGGTTGTGTGATGTTGTGTCGTGTGGTGGACTCGTTCGATCGGGGGGGTTTGGTGAGGAGCAAAGCTAAGCAAAGCGAGCAAAAGCTACAATAGCGGAGCAGATTTTGACCGGCGCGCGCTCGCGCACGCGCGTGCGCCGAATCGGTTTGCGTCCGTGGACGCGTGGTTGGCTGATGGTTGCTGCTGCTGCTGCGAACGCATGGGACGGACGCGATCAACCCTGCGCTGCACCGCAACGCAAACGCAAGCACACGTACCAACCCGTGTGCACATTGGACGGTGTAACTAATTTTACAGTGTCTTGAATTGAGCACTTTTGGACAGGGGAGTTAGTGAACTGGGTCAGATGTTTAATTTAGAGAACTTCGGCCATGTTTAGTTGAAAAAAAATTCAATCATCACATCGAATGTTTAGATACATACATAAAATATTAAATATGGACAAAATAAAAAACCAATTATACAGTTTGCGTGTAAATTATGAAACGAATCTTTTAAGCCTAATTGCACCATGATTTGACAATGTGGTGCTACATTAAATATTTACTAATGATTAATTAATTAGGCTTAATAAATTTGTCTCGTAGCTTCTGACGGAATATATAATTTATTTTGTTATTAGACTATATTTAATACTTTAAATGTGTATCCGTATATCTGATGTGATAATCAAACCCAAAATAGAGGGTGTTAATTAATTTGCGCATGTTACTATGCAGTAGTAGTACGAGTGGTTATGAGCGGTTGATTTACGTTTGACTATTGGCGAGGCTTGCTGTCCCGACATATATGATTCTGGCGGATTTTGTCGGGGAACGAGCATGTTTCGCCAAGATTGCATTTGGTTGGTTACGCGCACTGTAGGATCGGAGGACATTTGGTCAAATCAAAATAGTTGGGTTCGAGATGATAGCTGCAGCGTCCGACTTTCTCCCAAATGATAATACAGATGATCGCATCTAGTACCAGACTGCTACTCATTAATTACAATTATCATGTTCGTATACAGTATCAACCAGCATAGCACGAGCTTAGCTACCTTGCGAGAGCCGAGAGCATTAACTAGAACCAGGTCAAGCATGGTTTTTTTTCAAATTCGTTGAATTTTCCTCTTGTGCTGTGTCATCCAGCGAAGATTAATTGTCTTGAGTTAAAAATCTGATCAAGCGTTCGTTAAAAAAAAATCTGATCAGGCTACTATGTACAATCATACGTCTTTTTTCTCTAGTATATGATCTACAGGTGTATTCTCTGCGTGCGTGTATATACATGAAACTACCTATAGTGATATCCACATGATCCCTTTCCCGCCATGATAGGGACTCCCCGGCGGCAACGATTTGGACGGCTCCGATCAACCGATCCATCGATTGAGCCCGTCTTCCTCCGTCGCTCTCTCCACCGGCTGCTTGCTGCTGCTCCACCCATCGTTCGACTGACAGACATTGTACACTGTACATGCAATTATGCAATTAACCTCTCTTTCTCTCTCTAAAAAGAGATTTAGAGTGAGAAGCGTACCTCCAAACATCTCTCTAGAAAATGAGATTTAGAGTGAGAAACGTCCCTCCAAACATTCTTTTAAAAAAATATAAATGTGTTGGGAATTATATACAGGATTTTTGAGTTAAAACCACACACCCTTACCACTACATCTCTATGTCTCTAACAGTGCCACGTTTGGTGCACATTTGGTACTCTCTCCATCCAATAAAAAATGAATCTAAAATCGGATATGATATATTATAGTACTATATAAATCTGGACATATATATGTTTAGATTCATAGTTCTAGTATGTGTCACATCTGATATTAGGATGGTTTTTTATAGGACGGATGGAGTATGCAGGTGGGTAGGATAGGCAAGGGACAGGGGATTCATACGTTGATAGTAGCTTCACCGAGTTATGCCAATTGAAACTTCTTGCCTGCCTCTGTCCGGCTGTCTCTGTCGCTCTCTTCTCTTTCTTAGCTTAATCACTCACTGTTCCTTGGCCAATAAAAATCCCATTTTTTGACCGTGCTAATTAAGTAGCACGCGCGCAGCGTACGTACTGGTCTTGCTAGCTGCTAATACGCTTCGTCCTTTTGTATTGTACACCTGCTTGATTACATTGATGAAACGATTGTGATCGATCTTCTTAGTGCAGTACTATATATGCATGTTGCTGTTGCATACATGTGCTAATTTAGTGGGTCGCAGGAGAGAGATACATGCATATATGCTACTCTCCCTATCCCAAAATATAAGAAAAAGTAGTATTGGATGGAACGTTTTCTATACTCCCTCCGTTTCATGATGTAAGTCATTTTATCGTTTCCTACATTCATATTGATGCTAATGAATCTAGACATATATATATATATATATATATATATATATATATATATATATATATATATATATATATATATATATATATATATATATATATATATACGTATATACGTATATACGTATATACGTATATATATATATACGTATATACGTATATATATATATATGTCTAGATTCATTAGCATCAATATGAATGTGGGAAATGCTAAAATGACTTACATTGTGAAACGGAGGGAGTACAACATATTCGGACAGGCTCCCTATCCGAACACATTGTACTACTCTCTCCGTTTCAGATTGTAAGACTTTCTAGTATTGCTCATATTCATTTAGAAGTTAATGGTTATATGTGTGCCTAGATTAATTAACATCTATATGGACGTGGACAATGCTAGAAAGTCTTACATTGTAAAACGGATGAAGTAGGAAATATCCTATCTAGTTTTAGGTTTTATATTTTGGGATAAAGGTAGTAGCAATATACTCCCTCCATACTTATAAAGAAAGTCGTTTTGGATAGCGACGTGGTCTCCAAAACACAACTTTGACTTCTTATTTCTATAAAAATGTTTATTGAAAAGTGATATATGTATACTTTTATGAAAGTATTTTTTAAGACAAATCTATTCATATAAATTTTATATTTTCAAACTCAACAACTTAATAGTTATTCATAATTTATATTCCCAATGTTTGACTTTGACATTGTCCTAAACGGTTTTTTTTATGAGTATGGAGGGAGTATATGCATCAATGCACGATTCATTCATATGTTAGCTTCACTTGGTTGGCTTGGTTTAACCAAACGTTTGGTTTGCTCTGGTTTTTTCTCCTGCGGTTGGGACGTCTCGATATTCCTTTCTCCGTAAACTGTTTTCTCAAGCAATGAGAGGAAATTAAAGTGAAGCTAGTTAGAGCCACCTCTTATAGCCTTCTTAAACTTTTTTTTTCATCCAGTAAGGTCACTGAATAATGGGTTTTGGTGGCTAATGACGCCGAATTCTATTTGTGACCCGATAATTTTGTGCATGCACTAATTAATTGGTTTTTAATTATTGTTTGTGGGGATTTCTCTCTGTATTAGCCGGGCCTTTTTTTTTTTCCTTTTGTAGAGAGCGATAGAGTGTCGGGGGCTTGATTGGACAAACGAACTACCTCTCGTTGAAGTTGTGGTAGCCATGATAATTAATTAATGTGTGTTTTCTGCAGCTTTTAAAATACTTTTCACTAGACAACTTTTTTCCTTATCTCGTTTTTAATATGATACTACCAGGTGTACACAAGGTCCACTTCAGGTATACAGGAAACAGTATATATATAACTTCTTTTAAGGGTTATGGTTTATGTTATCTTCATTATCATGGCCACATTTACAAGTAAGCTTATAATGCATATTGTTCACTAATTTTGTGGCACTGACTCGTGCACCAAGCCATTTTTTTACATATCCTAATTCTAGCTATATTTTTATACTAGTAGAGGTGATTTGTACGAGTAGTAGGCTTGCATACACATATGTGTACATGTATATAATCTCATATACGTGTCTTCTTTTCTAAGTAATGTAACCATTACATTAGCAGTATGCTTTCTGGATTCCTAAACGGTACGACTCTTTTATAGAAAAAAGTTTTTATATATGAATTTCTTAATATATATATATATATATATATATATAATCTATTTTTAAACTATATAATAGTTCATTCATTCATTTCTATATCGAATAGTTATCCCAAAATCATTCAGCAATTTAGTGAAAAAGATAGCCTAGAAATGCATTTAATGTTTTTTTTGTTTGTAACTACTGCCTTAATTAGTGTACATTACTCAGCAAGTCATCATTCCCTTTTTAATTAGGACGGTCCCATTTCAAATATTTTCAGATTACGCGGTTGGGCAACAAAGTCCTAAATATACCCGTGCTCAGTTTTGATTAAACATCAGTTCAGCACCCACATATACCCCCCCAAATGTCTGTCCTGTTGCCCCATAATCCGGAAACATTTGTTTGCATATGCAATGCATCAATCAGCAAAACGACTAGGCTGATACATGATGATACACGACAAGCTACAAAGCATCACAATTTCTTTCTTGCTTGCATAATACTATATACTACTAATGTATATATATGACTACAGTTTATATATGGTTTCTAGTGGTGCCTAATTAACCAATAATTGTCTGTCTGGCCGAGGCAATGGACGCATGCATGCATTGGATAGTTGGATGTTTCCCTCCTCTCTTGCTATAACTCTATCGGTATAAGTCGGTCTGGCTTAATGCGTTGTGTAACGAATATTCTTATCTTTTAATATATTGACGTGCAATCCTTTTACGCGTTCGAGAAAAAAAATTGGATAGTTGGATCATTTGGACATATACTACTATACTACTACTAATCCTCCTCCATACTGCCACATAAACGTGTGAGAAAGAAGCACTGAAAATGACCAAATGAGAAGGCTTAATTGATCGGTCAGTTCAAAGCGCGTTAACAAGCGATCCTATTCGATTTGTTGTCCCTTCTACGTTGGTTTGGTAGCATGCATCCATATGGTGCCATACACTGTACAAAAAAAATACTATACTACAATCTTGTGAGACGATGCTCTCATCTCATCTTCAGTCTCATGGCCACGCAGCAACTGTGATATCTATACCTGCTTTGTGACATTGTCAATGGGTGATTAGACGGTGTGCGTTTGTCGTGTACTCGCGTGGGCCATGCAATTCGAGATGTGTATGTGCAGATGAGTCAAAATGGAAGATAGGATGACACTATGTCTAGGCATTGTCAGGACCTGAAGGTTGACCACACCCTAACAAACTTTCTGACGTTTCTTAAGGGGATGTCTTCTCCTTTTGTGGCTGCTGTTCGCTGAACCTTCTGCACATCTCGTACGTTTTCTTTCTTTCAGGAAGATTCACTGGATACACCACGGCCGGGCGAATCGTCGGTGTAATGTACTAGCCACATAATTTCTTCAAAATCGCCTAACATTTGGCCATGATTCATTTCCACCGAAATTCACGGCAACCGGCTGACATTTAGTTCGTTCTAGTCTGGTTGCTTCTGAAAATCATACTCTGAGTCTGATGGTCGTTAAGATTGGAGCAAATAACTCTAGAAAACTTGGGAGTGAATAGCTCTAGAGAAGCTACACAAAGACAGTAACATCACCTTAAGTGTGCAGCTAAGTGCAGTGAGCTACACTACTGAAAATCATTTGAAATTGCTGGCCCGTCTACTTCCATAACGTCACATTTCAAGGGAAATGTACTGCACATGAAACTTTTGTTTTTGTGCAGTGTTTTGCAGAAGGTGCACATGGAACATTTGCTGCAACGTGTTCTCCTCGCCAGTCACAAAACCCTCCAATTTCGTGTCACTCACATCACCTTCATAACCATCTAATACTAGTTTATTCTAGTCAATCTAAATTAAATTATCAGCTACCTGCAACCCCAAATTTATCAGACAACATGCTGCCCTTCGTATTAGAGAGGCAGGAGGCCCCACCATGCAGTCGGTTTCAGTTCTCAACTGCCGCTGCCTCTGGGCCCCATTTCGCCATGTGCCAAGTCTCACCATCACTGAACACCAGCCTGTACATTGGGCGAACATCGGGACATGTTGATGTCTTGCTGACCTTGTGATGACGTATGCGAGCGTACGTGGACCCCACCTGCCAGTCGGATGCCACGCTGTCATGGTGACTCACATGAGGAGAGGAACAACCCCCCCCCCCCCCTCCCAAAAAAAAAAAAACTGCAGAAAGTTTCATTCACGTAAGGCAAAAGCTTAACAGCAACATGCTGCCAACATGCAATCGCCAGATTATCTGTGTCATAAACGACTCTCTCTTTCCTTTTTGACGACTTGATAATGAGATGCGGAAATTGACGTCAAGCGGGTGGTACAGAAAGGCATTGCACGAGAGATTTGGAAACCTTTGCAAATTGCAATGGATTTGACATAGTTTTGCAGTTAAGGTGCTTCATGAAAAGATTGAGGACAGAAAGATCACCTTAGATGATTTGGCATTTTCAGCTGATCAGTTACCAATCGCAAACCAATTTTGCTTCACATCTCAGACCATGGAACTAACCTACAACTCTGCAAGTCTAATCTTTAAAAGGAAAAAATTCACAATCTGCAAGTCTGAAACTCAGTTGCGTAGTTGTGAGGGATGTGATATCATATCACTTGAGAAAAAAGTGTCCTGACGGCGATCGATCGATGCATGGTTTGTGATCGTCCTTAATAAGGAAGAAAGAAAAGTTAAGAAAGATGTGTTTGATCTAACTAAAACGTACACAATGCGTGCTTGTAAAAGCGACAGAATAGCTAGAGATGTCCATAAGGGACACGAGAGCAACAAAAATGTGTCGCTAGAATCGATCGATCTTGTGCATCAAAACAAGTTGCAAGAGACTGCAAAATTTGCAGTTTGACTTGGAGAAATGACCTGTCAGATTCAACCATAAGTCTCGATGGAGAGGTTGTTAGTTCATTCTCTTCACCACAGATGGACAGAGTTCGAATGGACACCTTACTGCAATACTGCGTACGCCGGAATTACTAATTATTTTGGCAAAATTTTCAGTTTGCCGTACAAATTGTTCATTCGTCTGAAGAGATGTAGACAAACTTTTCTTTAAACGGACAGTTCATTAAGTTTTTTGATTGGTTTTAAGCTGAAGCTGAAGCTTAGTACCTGGACGGACTGAGCTTGATCCGTATGAACATATCTTCAGCCAACCGTATCTTTGTGGTACGATTAGTACAATAATTTTCGCCAAAATTCGTTTCTTGGGCTCACGGAGCATAAATTCCATTAAATCGCATCAGTGTAAACGAAACCTATTCGAATTCTCTCTGCTTGTCCCACTCGAATATATTTCATCTCCTCTTCCTAACCTCTCTTTCTCGATCGTGATCAAGAACTAATAAAAGAAAAGCAGAGTGTGTTGGGTAATGCTAATGTTAAGCCAGGATCTTGTTCTGGTTAGCGTCGCAGTCGTCGTCGTCGCAGTTGTTCTCGCGTTGTACTGCTACTGCTACTATCTCTCGATCTGCTCCGTATTGGCGTAGGTCTGAAGATAATTGTGTGGTGAGTTGCTGCTATCCCACCAACCATCGTCGGATGGACTGCAAGTGCAGAAGTTTGTATCTTGGATGATGGCATTCAGCTTTGGGGTTTAGGTGATGTGGCGCATTCTATGCTCTCTTTACTCTTTAAGGATCTTAATATGGCTGAATTATAATCAGCCAGTGGTTTGTATGATCCAACGCTTTAATTTCGCAGGACAGTTTTGTCATACTGATTGAAGAGTCGTTGGACTGATCAGTACGGCTAAACCTACAATGATTTATGGGATAGTACAAGTATAAGTAGTTTAATTTAAACCTGCTGTGTGTTAGTGTGTTCTTTCTGGATGTGCTCTTGTGTTTTAGTGTTGGTGGAACAGGGTCTATGTGTTCTGAAGAGAATAAGAAGTACAGGGATAAACATGAACTGATTTGATATGGTTGGGACTTGGGAGCACTCTGTTCTCTCTACTCATCGTGATCTTAATGTAGCAATTAATTAGTTTAATTGAACCAGTTGTGTACGTTTAGTGTAACAGTGTAAGTATGTTCTGAAGAGAATAAAAGGTGCTCCTACCAGGATTGCGCATGAGCTGATTTTCATATGGTTGGGACTTGGGAGTACTTTGCCAAGCTGACATGGAGTAATAGTTTGGGCCAAAATATCTTGGACCCAGGAATGAACAATTCAGCATAATAATGAACTACCAGTATTATAACCTTCAGCCTTTGTGCCTTTGCCTGCTCTGCATACAGTGGAATGGAATTGTACTAGTATAAAACAGATGTAAAATTGTAAAAATAGTGATTGGTGTAGCCCCGAGACGACTGTTCTTGATGTATGCGTTACCGCGGACGGCGTGGAGTCGTGCGTGGACTCATGTCTATGATACAGCATCTAGAACATACGCTGCGGACTACGGAATTTTCAGGACTTGGGTGGAAACCCAGCTGAAAATTCAGCGTACCGTACCGTATGCTCCGGTTAAATTCGGCCACCGGAAGAGAGCCCAAGACTTGCCTATGCATCCGAGTTGGGTTTTCCATCTCAGGAGCAGTGTGCATATGATTGGGCTGGGAGAACGCAAGAGGATCGCGCGCTCTCCGATTCGACGGATGGTTGAATGGCCGTTTGGGCGCGCGGTAGCGGCCGCGGCGTCGCGTTCGCGTATACGTGGTCGCGTCGGCGTGATGGTGTCGCGTCCACGGAAATGCCTCGCCTCTCTCCTCGGCGCGTCGCGCGGGTCGTCAACCCGGCACGCCGCGCCACGCCGGGGGCAGCGCGATAGCCGGCCACCTCGCGCCCGCGCGTCCCACTCGCACAGCCCAAGGTCGGCGTGACGGGCGTGCGCGACTGGGCGTTGCGCTGATTGCCGTCTCGTCTCACCTCTGCTGACCAAGTGGAATAGTAGAATGGCTTCGCGATAGCGTCACTCTCAGTCTCACACCACCGCTCGCTGCCCGGCTATGCAACTGAGAGCAGCTTCGAAAGTCGAAACTCAAAATAGGCGATGATGAGTTGATGACAACCAGCTTGCCCATGTATGATCAGGTCCACAATTCCGATGAAAACTGATCGAATTCCATAAAAAACCGAGGTTTCTACGTCAATTCCGATGAAAACTGATCGAATTCCGTAAAAAACCGAGGTTTCTACGTGGCTCAAAAGTAGAAGCTGTATTCCATGTAGTAGGCCCACTTTGTACTAGCCCAAGTAGAATAGAGACGGGTCGTGGTCCTGCACTTGATTTCGCTTGGAATTTCGCCGAAACCAACTGGTTTTTACGAGCATATCGGTAAACTCACAGAATTTGTATTCAAAATTTTATTTATGAAATTTGTTCAAAATCTACCGGCTTTCCACCAGATTTCTCGAAAACCGTCGTACCGTCAAAGCCCGGAACATAAGGACATCTCGGAATCATAAACCCTGTGTATGATAAGTGAAACAACGCAATCATCTCAAAAGGCAACAACGGCGGCAGCCAAAATTTCCATCCTATTGGCGGAGGAAGGGAAACATTTCATCGAATCTTCCATGGGCATATGCAAACAGGAGTCAGGAGACAGCTCAAATGGTGGTCGAGCACTTTTTTTTTTCCTCCCAGGGGTTTCTGGAACTTGACAGTATGGCACAAAGACGAGATATTTCCAAAGAATGAACATACAACACCTCTACCTATCAACAGCAAAGGAAAAACAAAACTACAGGGATCTATCTACTATCACTCACTCCACTCCCTTGAGCTGCACCAGAAACCTCAACTGTCATGCACCTGCCTTGGTTGAACGAAGTTCACTAGCTCAAAGTGCTTGCAACCTTTCATCTACTCTCGGTGAAAAATTCTCATGTCAGATGTATGTATGAGTTAGAGTCAGCTTGACAGCAGCGAGATGGCAATGCTTTCAACTGATGGCACATCAGATCTGTTCCACTAGCCAGACCATCATCATACCGCTGATTCCTTCGTTCCCACCACTAATCTGGAGACAGCTTGGTATAACTGCTCCTCGTCGAAAGGTTTGGACACATAACCATCCATTCCCGATTTTATACATTCTTCATATGTCGCCTGAATGACATCCGCGGTCATTGCCAGAACAGGCAAATGGGACTCGACGAATGTTGAACCCTCCATTAAATCCAACGCCTTCCTTTCCTCGTTTGCTTTTACCTCCATTTGCCTTATTTGTCTAGTTGCCTCAAACCTATACAATATTTCATCAACAGTCAGTGACTAGCATTCATAAAATGGAGATTATAATTAGTAATTACTTTGACACATAAAAAAACAGTAAAATGAGAAAGCAACTTCCTCTAAAGATTTGGTATTTTAAAAGACAATCAATAAAAAAAAAGAATTGACTAATGCAGCTGTTTGTTTATTGGATCCATACCCATCCATCTCTGGCATCTGAACATCCATAAAGCATGCATCAAAGCAGTGTGGTTGTTGAAGTAAGGAGACTGCATCTTTGCCGCTTTCAACACAATGAACTTTGGCACCATATTTCTTGAGCGCAGCTGCAGCAACCCTGAGATTGACTTTATTATCATCTACAATCAATATATTCTTCCCAATCAGCAAGCTGCGGAGAAATGAGGGCCTATTTTGATTGTCTTTCCTTTCAGGCATCACTACTTTTAGCAACTGTTGAAGGCAAGAAGCAATTGTGCTTGCCCTTATAGGTTTATACATCACAATATCAAATGCGGATCCATATCTGTCCTTGTCAGCTTCTGATGTTACCAAAAGAACTAGCTTCGGCAACTCATGCACCTGACCATTATTCTTTAGCTCATGCAGACGATTCAATAATAGGATATCTGTCTCAGGCCTCCAGATGTCACTCTCTATAAAAAGCATAGACAGTTTCTCCCTGCAAAATGACAATGTAGGTAAACAAAGGAGAATTAGCATGCATTCAAAAAGAATGTGCAGTATATGAATTATTTTGTTATTATTATCACTGAGGTGTACAATCTGGTTCTTTGTGGTTTTAAGTTCTACTTTAAAAATGCACTATGGGTTTGGACCTTTCATTAACTTCATTTAGATAAGGAAGACGACTACATCCCCAGCCCCTGCATCACATAATACTGTCTCTTGTTTCTAATTTGGTCCCTCTTGCATCACACAACTGGAGCCAGTGTTTTATAGAGGCCTTGTTAGGAATTGGAAATGAGTTGTTAGAGGACTCACCTGGACTCTTTCACACCATTTTGTCCAGCTAAAGTCTGAAGCCCCATACTCAAATTATTCACAACTTTAACAACTATTCCCAACCTGTTAAGGTGATATCGTGTGACAGCTCCACGTACAGGTCTCCCATCTACTAAAATAGCCTTCATTCCCTTAAAGGCAGTTGGTAGTGCCTCAGATAAGCTCCTCTTTGAATCACTTGAAGTATCTTTGCATGAGCGCTTGAGGACAGCTGAGAATGTAAATGTACTCCCAACAAATGGACGGCTAGTGAAACTTATTTGACCGCCCATAAGTTCAGCTAAACATTTGCTGATGCTTAAACCAATGCCAGTTCCACCATAGTTCCTTGAAGTTGAACTATCAGCCTGCATGAAAGGCGTAAAAACACGATCTTGTGCATGTAATGGGATCCCAACACCTGTATCCTCAATACTTATCATCAAGGTCACACAGTCACAATCATTTTGATAAGATCTGTCGCACTCAAGCTCATCCATATGGGGCTCTTTATCAGATAGCAGCAGCTTAAAATAATCCCAGTTATTGCGCTCATCTGCGGCTTGAAAACCACTCAAAGTATTGAAGGCGCCATTAGCTGTAGTCTCAACTTTGCCGTCTTTCCCATTCATGGTTCCATTAAGGACTTGATTAGCTTCCACTTTTGAGTTCTCAGCCAGGCAGACTCGCACAAATACATGGCCCCGTTCTGTGAACTGAGATAATACATGGTAAACTTAGTATATTTTCTATATCAGAATTTAAATATAGGAATTGTGTGCAAAGAAATTATTTCAGGAGGTGAAAGAATTAAATAATTCAAACAATCTCAGCTTCATTAAATGGCACATAAAAGTCGCTATAGCAAAAAACTTGACAGCTTAGTGCTTACTTTGACTGCATTTCCCACCAAATTTGTCAGTATTTGTCGATATCTCCATGGATCTCCAATAACAACTTTTGGAACATCATCACATACAAACACTGCAAGCTGCAGCAATAGGGAAATGTAGGGAAAGAATAAGGTAGCGGAGCGTAAATAGATAAATAATCGGCATGTTTGGAACTGCATGATCTGCCAGTCACTCAACCACAATGGAAGGGTTACTTGGAAGTAGTCCATATCATGACTATAAGAGTGCAGTAACTATCCTCATAAATGAAGCCAAGTAAAAGAAAGATACCTCAATGCACTTCTCTCTTGATTTTGAAGAAAATAAGGAGATCACATCATCCATGAGAGACCGCAGGTCAAATGGCACTGCCTCAAGCTCCAATTTCCCTGCTTCAATCTTAGCCCGATCAAGTACATCATTTATCAGTGTTATCAATGCTCTGCCACACATCTGGGCTGTCTGAGCATAATCCTTCTGAGTCATACTCAGATCTGTCCCCAAGAGCATGTCGAGCATTCCTACATCAAAAGGTAGAATTTTAGATCGCTGGACGACTGGATTGGACAATATTCAAGTTTTACACAGAACAAATTTATACCAAGGACGCCATTCATAGGTGTTCTGATCTCATGGGATACAGTTGCCAGAAACTGCAAGTGGAAAATACAAATATAAATACATCTATACATATACTAGAAATCATAGTCAGAGAGAGCACTGAAACATGTGTCAAACCTGGGACTTAGCAACATCAGCAGCTTCCGCTTGAGTTTTGAGCTCTTCCATCTTTCTACAATCCTCTGAAACTTTATCATAGCGAGACCATGCGGCACAAATTATATACCCCACAAGCATCCATATAACAAAAGTTCCCAAAGGATTAGTGATAGCAGACCATGGCAGAGGAGGCTTTTGCCTATACCTGCTCAGGTTGCCAGAATTAGTGCAAGAGCCAAGTAAGAAGCAACCAACAAATTTATGCCATGAGAAAGAAGCTACCAACCTGCACCTCATTTCATGCGCCCTGAAAGGATCACCAAAGTCAAGCGTGCTCACATGGAAGAGGGACACTTTACCATCTGGACTTTGAGGACCATACATGGCCATAGGTTCAGAAGCATTTGTGACATCATACACATTCACTACAATATCCTGATTGCCAGCAAGTTTACTCAGCAAATTTTCCACGAGTGACTCCACATCAAAAGCTCCACCAAGATATCTGTTAGTAGGGATTTGATTTGATGAGACCACAACAACCAAACAACTGTTCAGGTAAAAAAGAAAACAACCAAACAACTGTGTGCATATGGCTAACAAATGACGAAAATTCGCTTTCACTTGGGATGTTATTTACTTTTTCAAATCACAATGGGTAATAAGTAATCCAAAACTTTGGGGAAGGCCGGCCCTGAATAATATGATGTTGCCCAATGCATTCTTGCCTACTTACCCTCTCTTTTACTGTTTTATACTGAGTTTTTAAGTTTGACACACAAAAAAGGGTTAGAAACAAGTGAAAAACAGCACGAGCTTACTACATATTCCAGATCAATTGATCAGGCAAGAGCCTTTTGCTGAAGTATGGACAATAAGGTACACAATAATCAATCACTATTCACTACGAATTCAAGTTCATGTGTTACAGAAGGTTTTGAGATTATGAGGTACTAGATGGCCTCATGGCCAAATTATCCCATGCTTTGTGTGTTTTGGTGAATTTCAGTACTATATATGCATAGGATTGCAACACAAATAATGGACATTTGATGCAACCCAACTCATCATAGAATATAAAAGATACTTCAATCTCCTCACCCAGCAGTTGCTTCCACACGCTCCTCAACTGATGCATCAGCAGCTAGACCAGGGCGATACACAGCAAAAGTGAGAACTACCCCCAAGTGGTTTGACCCAAGCAACCTGAATGGGTTTGTCAACACAGCTTTGCCGGTAGCCCTTGCACGTAAGATGTTTTCCCGGTCCTCCTGTATTGGGAATTAAACGATCAGCTTATCAAAACAGAAATTAAGAGGGTACAAGAAACCATCAATAAATGTTAAACAAAAGAAACATCAAGCAACAAGAAATCGCACCTCCCCAGACATCATGTCGATACGTGCAAGGTAGGAAACCGTATCCTGTGAAAAAATCACTGGGGCATACTCATCCTGTGGAGGCGCAGCCTGTCGCTTCATCGTCTTCATAATCCATCCCTGCTGGTTCTCAAACATTTCCCTCTCGTGATGGAAGATACGCTGCGCATATGCCACTCCATTCAGCAGTGGGCGCTCAAACGATGTCCTTGCCGTGTACTTTGCAAATGTATCCTGCAGCAAACATTGCACAAAATGCAAAATGAAACACAGTAGAAGGAAGGAAAATGCTAGATTCTGTAAGAACCAAGATGAAATAGCCTAGGCATAAAAAAGGAATGTCGTGATGAAATTAACAGTCCCCCGAATCGGTCCGGTTCTAATTATGTCAAGAGTCTTAATTCATCAACAATTTGTAAATGCAGATACACAACTACGGCTAAGGATCAGATTTGTTCGTTACTGTTTGCTGCCAGTTACTACAGGCAGAATGTGTCCAAAACAGCACAGTTCCACACCATAATACTCCTAAAATTACAGTTACAAAAGCAGAGGGCCTAACTCGAAAAGAATATAAGAATTGGGTCAAGATCCCAGAACTGAACAGCTGCAGCGGTTCTCTCCTGATAAACAAAAGGAATCAAAACGTCGTATTACCAACTATTAAACCAGTGCATAAACAAAATAACGAGCTACCAGCCTAGTTAGTTCAGAGGCGTCTGTGAGCATAAAAAAACCCCAACTACTCAAAGAATGCCACATATTCAAACATCAAGAGCCCCACATGGGAACCAACTACAGCAATAATGTACCGCTAAACGACTAAGCCGCATGCCTGGAAGCATCAAGAACCAGCAAACCCATCTTTAAACAAACCAATCCTTAGAGGGATCCCAGGATTCCGCCATTGCCGCAGCATTACAAGCAGACAGCAGCAACAGCAACAACGATGCATCATCAAAAGGGGAAAAAAACAATCTTTACGCGTCGTCGGCTCACCTGGTCGATGGCGGACGGGAACTTCTCGAAATGGAAGGTGGAGATGAGGATGGCGAGGGCGTGGACGTGGTTGACGGTGACGCCGAACTGCTCCTGCAGCATCCTCGCCCGCTCCTCGCACATGCTGACGAGCCGCTCCTCGGCGCGGTCCATGGTCTCCCGCCGCAGGTGCCAGTGCATGTACGCCGCGCACGCCACGGCCACCAGCACCCACGCCGCCGCCGCCGCGTTCCTCCACCCACTCCTCGCCTCCGGCTTCCCCATATCCCCCCTCCCTCTCAGAAATCTACTCCTCCTCCTTCTTCCCCCTCCCACCACCCAATGCCCACCATGTGCTCGCGGAAATGCGCGACGGCCCGGCCCGTGCCACGCAGCAAAGCACCCACTACTACACGCCGCCTAGGAGCGCGAGCAGACCAGCGCACAAGCGCAGCGGAGGCGAGGCGAGGCGCGAGACACCGCGAGAGTGGCTGCCTCCTCTCTTCTTCTCAAAAGAACCGAAGCTTTCGCGAGTTCCCAACAAGAGCAAGCAAGAGAGCAAAGCCAGCAGCCGCGCCACCCTAAAAATAATAATTAGCCCGCGCACCACACCACTAAACCCGCATTAATTAATCCCCGCCCCGTAACACGAGCCCCCTCCCTCTTTTCTTTACTCCTCGCCCCAGCGCCCGCCGCGACGGAGCGAGGCGTGGGAATTCGCGACACCACACAGCTTACGCCGCCGTCGGTACGCGGCGAGCCTCTCCCTGGCCGCGCTCTCCGGCGGCGAGGCGGTGGGGTAGTGGTAGTAGTAGTAGTAGTAGTAGTATTGGGGGAATTTTTGTGGGGGGGTGGGTGGGTGGGGTGGGGGCGGTCCGCGGCGGCGGGCGCGGCAGCGGTGGGGGGTGGTCTCGTAGAAATACTGTGGTGATACGGCGACAGCGATGGTGGCGGGGGGCGGGGGAAGGAGGGGGAGCTAGCGGGGCGGGGGGGAGGCGTCACGTGCAGAGGGGAGACGGGTGGGGCCCACCAAGCTGCGGGAATTTACCACCTGCTCCTTCTCGTCATCTCGTGTGCAATAGGTTAATAGTACAGACAACTACTGACTCCAAATTATTTATAGATAATATATTAGCTAATTTATATAATAATTGTTTACTATACTATTAATATCTAGTCCCACCTATCATACACACATTACGTCTTGGAGTCTGTGCTACAGCTGGCTACAGATCTGTAGTTCGCTGCTCTTCTCTCTCTTCCTTTATCTCTTTCAAATATGTTTATAGCTGGCTTATAGCCTGCTATTATATCTATTGTATCTGCTCTAAGTTCATTCCCAACCTAAGATACTAAAGATAGTTTTCATAAATTCCACATAATCAAAAAAAATTAGTACTGGACACTACTTTTTCAATACGAACACCACTATTTCATACTTAAATTTAATGCTAATATTTTCTCGCCAACACTTCATTCCCAACCGGTCATAATCCTTCACTATTTGTTTATTTTGTTATATACCTTCACTTTTAAACCAATTACAATCTTTTTTTAATAATCATATTTAATTTTATAACTTATAGTATTTTGGAACGGAGATAGTACTACTCCTATGGCGGTCGGGAGGTTTGTTATGCATTTTCCCTCACCGCGTGCATATGGTGGATTTTTCTTAGGCGTAAAACAACACGGGTTCGACGGTTTTGGCTGGGTTAGGCAGACCAATACCGAACTCTGAGAAAGATGGTTTTTTTCTCCGAGAAAACTCCAACGTGCATGCTTTATTGGACTGATGTAACATCTGAAACACAAATTAACGTTATAATTTTTTTTCTTCCGCAAGATAGCAAAATAGTACTTATTTCGATCCAAAATAAATTATTTTCTCCCATAGTACATATACCAATAAAAAATAGAACGCATCTACTTTATCAAATCACAGTGTAATTATTTCAATATTTATTTATTCCAAACAAATTTATCTTCTATTTTCATAAATCTTGATATAATGATTGTTTAACAATGAACTTATTTTAGGATAAACGGGAGAGGTCAAAATGATAAATAGTAATAAGCAGATGAGGAGATACTGAATTTCTCATGGTGGGAAGAACATGTTCATTTGCCTCCAATCATCCTTAACATTCAACCATTTGTGACGTAGGCATAATTTAGCGATCATCATTTCATGAATGACGGCGACATGTATCAATTGTTTAAACTGCATTTCAGCCGGTGACATCTTTTCACTGTTATGTAAAGCAAGAGCTTTCTTGAGCTCTTTCAAAAAATTCTAAAACGATGCTGCCTGAACTTTCAACTTTGTCCATGGAGGGGCATTTTGGGCAATAAAGAGGAACACAAGTACAACAGGAGAGCATCTGAAGTGTTGATGAAAAAAAACATTAGCTGTTCTGTGGACCCGGTCTTTGAGGCCAGCGCTGCCTAGAGAGACATTCCATGAACCGGTTCCACCAGGACATTCTTATAGCCCACTGCCAAACAAGTGGAGTCTTCCATTTGTCCCTTGTAATCTTGTTGGGACAATTGTATCCATGCCCCTACTTTTAAATTTAATTGTTGTTTTACCTCTATTTTTAGGGTTTACACTTTTACTTTCACTTTTTGAATTTGAAGCAACCGTCTACCCTCAGTTGTAATAGCCGTTTGGTGGGTCCCACGATGTTGTGTTAAAAAATACAAAAGAAAATAAAAAAAGGTTTTAGGAAATATGATATTACGTTTATACCCCTAAGGGAATGGATAGGATGAGTGAGTCTCCTCCCACCACCGTACGTCGGTTTCCTAGAACCGTAGCGCCGACTGAGACCGGGTGGCGGCAGCGTACGTGCGGCGCGGAGGCTGCGGATCAAGGGGGCGAAGGCGGCGGCGGTGGGCGCGAGGCTACGGCGCCGGCCCCGGGCGGGCGCGCGCCAGCTACTATGCGCGAGGCAGCGATGGCCGCAGGCATGGTCGAGGCGGCGGCGGCCACAGGGTCGCGTCGAGGGCCAGCCAACGTGGTCGAGGCTACTACCTTTTTTATTTTGGAACAATTCACAACTGTGTTGTATTTTTTTTAATAAGAACAACCTTGTTATATTATCTATGTACTACTAAATGTGGTATCAATTGTGCATACTAACATCGTAGTCTCGGTTAACTGACAGGCATTGACCTGTAGTTTAGGGGTTCAGAGTGAATGCATGAGCTTTGGCCGGTCAAAGCCTCACATTATAGCACTCACACAAGCTGAAAAAAATGGGGGCAAAATCATACAAAACTGAAAAAAGGAGGGCAAAACTGCAATAACCACCAAGAGTATATATGTCATTTTCTCTACAACTAACACCGTTAGTTGTGACTGTTAAAAAAGGGTACATGGCTGCTTCGGATTCAAAAAGTGGGGGTAAAAGTGCAAACCCTAAAAAATAGGGGTAAAACAGCAATTGGCTTCGAAAGTAGGGGCATGGATGCAATTGCCCCAATCTTGTTCGCTTTGCCGCGCAGTTGGGGTATGCAAGCAGCTAAATGCATGAATCCTCTTGTCACTTTGTACAGCAAAAAATTATATTTATTTAAGTGATTTATTAGCAATTGTAATGCTTATGTGTTCTAGCACCGTACACATGCTTATACAGCACAATAATAAGAGACAACCAGGTGAAGAGAAAATGAATTACTTCCTCCGTTTTAGGTTATAAAACGTTTTGACTTTGGTAAAAGTCAAACTGTTTTAAGTTTGACTAAGTTTATAAACAAATATAGTAATATTTATAATACTAAATTAGTTTCATCAAATCAATAATTGAATATATTTTCATAATAAATTTGTCTTGGGTTGAAAATGTTACTACTTTTTTATATAAACTTAGTCAAACTTAAAGCAGTTTGATTTTTGACCAAAGACAAAACGTCTTATAACCTGAATAGATGTAGTAATAACGATTGAAAAGTGTGTCATGGTATTTTGGAATGTCAAAAATGATACATAATAGATATAGGGGTTGTTCGGTTTGTTATCACTTTCGGTCCTATCAAAAATTGTTATTATCAAAACTTGGTAAGATAACAAACTAAACATTCTATTGCCATTGACACCCTATCAAATTTTGGTATTTCTGGAAACTTCCTCTCATGAAAACACTACCAAATTTTGGTAATGTTACAAACTAAACGTATCCAACACTACCAATTTTTGTAACGTCAAAATATGCCAATGTTTAGCAATGCCAAATTTTAGTAAAGTTGATTTAGCACCATACCGAATAAGCCCATAATAAATGAGATATCACACAATATAAAATGTCAAGACTTTTAGATATAGGGATATTAATTTATAAGAGACAGACAACAATTGGTGGCGGTTATTTGCAGAAATGCGAAAATAGGCAGAACCTTTTAAAAGAAAATAGAAATGAAGACTCGTGTTGTTTGAAATGCATGAATTTTATAGGAAACTGGAGTAGACCACAAGAAAATATTGCCAGCATAAACAGGATAATGGGCATACTAAAGGAATTCATATACTGTATAATATATATTCCTTTAATCCCTTCTAAAGGGTATGATAGGGGATAAATTAAACGTATGGAAAAAAAAAACTGAAAATCTATCCAATCTCAATGAACCTTATAAAGGTGAAGCGGTGGGTTGAATGTTGCAGTCTTGCGGATTGATAGAAGGCAACAATCCATAGCCACCGATTTTGAAGGGATCTATGTACCAGTAGTAACATTTACTAGTTTTCAAACAGAAAATCCATGTTCAAATTATAGCAGACCCCATAGAGATCTATGAGTTGTACCCGGTGCACAGGCCAAGGAAAATAACGGGACACCTTACGAAATCAAGACAAACGCGGCAACAGACAGACAGCCCAACACAATTGATCGAATAAATTCCATGGACCATTTTCATCATGTATGTACTCGCTCTACCTCCTTTGCTCCAGCAAGATGGACGCCATTTCGGAGCTTGCTGATCCTACAATAATGGCATGCCAATGTACACCAGTGCAGAAGAACCAAAGCTTCTTCTCGACGGTCTGTGCCCTGTACTCTACTCTTAGGCTGACAGCCGAGGACTCTGCCAATCTCTACCCTCCGTGGCTTCGATTCAGAGAGTCAACTGTGTTGCATTAACTACGTATGCCAGCATAATCCTCTCTTAATTGAAATCCTGTACTCCAATAAAACTTTGTTGATACTGCTGAATTTCTGATGCCAACATTGCTATATTTCTATACCTGGGAACAAAGCTGATATCCCCTTTTCATGATAGTG